TGCAGTTAACTGTAATTCTAGGTTTTGAAATTTATGTATAGCGTCATTGCTTTAAATTGAATCTTTTTTCCGTTCATGTTATGTTTTTTTTTATATTATTATTATCAGTGCATGTCAGCATTTAAATATTTGAAAGCAGGATTTTTGGCTGATGCAGCGGAAGTTAACGTGACTTTGCCATTGTTCAATTTGCGGTTAACTCGCACAACAAGTAATTGCGAGCAGGTAGAGAGACATAGTTTTATATATACATATATATGCACATATATATATATATATATATATATACTTTATATGTTTAATATATAATTACTAAATATAAATATTGAAACAGGGAATATTTGTGAACTAATTTTGTATATGTCAGCATAAAGCAATTGTCCGCACAAATTATAATGATGATTATTATGATAACAATAATAATAACAGAAAACATATTTCTCTTTTTCGGCACAAAATCTTTTTTGTGGCAAATTTGCAATTAATATTTATTGGCGAAAATATTAGCTTACTGTTTAACTGACACTGTGAAACAAACACATACACAAATGTTGAGATGTGCATTAAACAAAATTGTATAAATCAGCTTATTTGGCGATTGCTTTTGCTGCAGTTTGGCTTAGTTGAGTTTTAAATAGTTTTGTTAGCCGCAACACAATTTGAGTTACCTGAAACAAAATCGATGATTGTGTTCAGCATTCAAATGTTTCACTGTGCTCTGAATATAGCCAGAAACGCAATAAATGTTATATTAATGTGTGTATTTGTGTGTATTCGTATTGTTCTGTATGTTCTGTGTATGTTGTGTTGTTTGCGTTTTCCCATTTTCATTTGCGGTTTATTTAACCACAAAAACAATGGCAGAGCACTACGAGTACATATTATTATCGAGAACAACAACAAAAACGTATATTTGCTTTTGTGTCAAAGTGCGGACTGCAGGGAATTGTTGTTCTGCTCATGAAAGAGTCATCACACAGTTTTCACAGTTTTCACAATTTTCACAATTTTCATAGTTTTTCACATGCATCAGCTGACGTCCGCTCTTGTGTCACAATAACTATATACGCACCCCCCACAATATATATATACACACACACACAGACACACACACACACACACATCGCTTCACCTGTACACATTTCTGGTCTTTAGGTTCGACGTTGGCTGGAATAATGTGCCAACAGGAAACTCATTTTGTGGCCATTTTTCGCCCAACATTTATTGCAGTTGTTGTTGTTGCTGCTGCTGCTGCTGCTGCGACGGTTCAGCTTTGCGGTCTGTGTGCCACATGAGCCGCATGCCTCATACATACTCTACTCTTGCACACTCTCCCGTTGGCCTATCTAGACTGTCCAACAGTTTGCTAACTCTAACTCTTTTATGCAATAAGTGGCATGCCATTTAATAGACCACAATTTCGTTTGCTGCCGTTGGCAACGAGGTAACTGGCAATATTGCCAGCCAAGCAACAACAGCAACAGCAATAGCAATAGCAAGAGCAAAAGCAACGACAACAATACCAATAATGGTAATAACAATTATGATTACAGGCCAAAACCAACAACAAAAACAAACATTTGTCGAAACTAAGCCTTCTAATTGCACTTGTTTAATCACGTGACTCAACAAAAATGACGAAACAAACAGTAATAAACAAAATTGAAAGAAAACTGGAAGGGAAAACAAAGCAATAAAAGTGCTCGAGTTTTAGCTGTAATTGCTTATTAGTACCAACTCCAAAAAAATACAAAAATATATACATAAAAAGGTTCGTCTCATGTATTTGTATCGATTTGATATTATCTAAAGATCTATTAGAGAACCTAAATATACCACAACTATGTGTCAGCTGGCGATTTAAGTTTGGAATATGGAATATATTTAATAATATATTAAATGCTCTAAAAGCAGAGATATAAAGGCATTTTCGATAAGAGCATGTTTATGAAATGAATATCTTTTAAAGTCTTATACACACTATATATATATATATATATATGTATGTCATGAGCTCATTTCCAACAAATTGAACTCATAGCAATTTCGCACATATTTTTAATGGCGTATTAATAAAAAAGGAAGAAAAATGCCATAACTAAAAAGTGAAGTCGTGCGCACAAGTCGCAAATTAAATTTGACTCTGACACAGCACACAGCACACACCACACGCCACATGCCACACAGCACCTCAGCTCGAAGTTCTTGATCAAAAATCAGTCGAAATACTTGGCAACAAATATTTATTTGTGTATAGGCTTGTGTATACATTTAGTCTTAGCGTAATTGTTAATAAATTTGTGTACAGGTTGCAGCAACTTAAAGCCTTATGGCCACTTCACTTAAGAGCCTTCACTTTTCTTAGCCATTTCGTTTGGCAGTTGCTTGTGATATTATCGCCTAACAAGCGGAAAATGCCGCCAACAAAAAAAAGCAAAAAGAAGAGAGAAAAAATTAAACAGTCAGCCTTGCCACAAGGCAGCCAGTCGCCTGTCGCCTGTCGCCACCCACAGAGAAGATGAGACGAGTCTCGCAGACGCACAGCAATTTAGATATTGATTTAGATAGCGCCTGTAAAATACTTGTGTAGTTACGAATAAATGTATATATTCACTTGGCGCACACTGTCGCAGCTGGCATTCCACGGCAATTGAGGAGGAGGCGGCGGAGGAGGAGGCGGCGGAGGAGGAGGCGTGTGCTGGAACAGGAGGATTATAAGTAAGAGCAGGAGCAGGAGCAGAATTAGGAGTAGGAGTACGAATAGGAGTAGGAGAGTTGGAGTAGGATACTCGAATACTGGGATGGGTGGGCAGTTACTGGGTACTGGGTACGATATGCTTGTTAATGATTGTGGACAGCTGACTCGTAATTGGCAATAATGCCATGATTGATTTGACATTTTCATTCAATCATTAGCTTTTAACTACCATTAATTAATTGGTCTTCAATTGCAACACAAGCTTACACGCATCCAGTAAACAAATTTACCATTAATCATGGCTAATTACAAATTAATTGTGAATTGTGTTCTTTTCTACCAGTTGCGAGAAAACTGAATAACTTTGTTTTTCTTTTTTATCTTCCTTCGAAAGTTGTTGGTTCTTCAGTTATAAGTTATCTGTGCTCCCTTCGAGTGCTTAAGTTTCTGCTCTGATCTTGTTTCAAATCAATTTTCATATGTTAATATTCAATTGGAACAAAATGAAAGAGACCGAAATGCTAATTGGTACTTAATTATCTATATTTAATTTACTCATTTTGTTTGCTGTGATTTTATTTTAATTTTATTTTTATTTTTTGTAATTGCAACCTATTTATTTGTTATCCAATAGTCGGTTTTTGCAATTAAATTCATCTGGCCATCAATAAAGCGACTTATTTCAATTAAATTCAATTTAATTAAACGAAATTCACATTTTTGTTTTGTTTTGTGTTTTGTGTTTTTTTTTTTTTTGCAACAATTCCATTTAAATAATTAAGTCAAGTGCAGACTGTTGGCCATTTAACAGTAAACGGCTAACTGCAGTTACAACACTTTTGCGTTGATAAACCGTCAACCGACAACCGACAACAACAAATAATGGCTTCAATATGCAACAAATTGTAAATTGCGCATTGCAACAAAGTATGTTGATTGCAAAATGTTGCAAGAGTGCACAGCGGCACATAAATCAAAATTGTTTTACAAAATGCCACTCAACAAAACACTTTTCGCATTAATTTATTTACAAACAGTCGTGTGCCGCAATTAAGTTAATTTTGATTAATTATTTTTTGTACGTCTGCCAGTTGTGCTGAAAGGATTGAGATTGTTAGGGGATGGATGAAAAGGGAGTGGGCGGGAGGTGAGGGGAGGAGAGGGGATTGTGGGTTGTGGGTTTTTTCTAGGGGCATATTGACGTCGTCGCACAAGGCGACTAAACCAATTAGCCCCGGGCCCGGCAGAGACAAAAGTTGAACAATTGTCTACTTATGTGACTCCGACGCCGGTTTAGATTCAGACTCGGTGTCGTATACGCAATGCTTCAAATGTCTTAACCCATCCTCCAAGCATTTGGTACATGTTGTTGTTGTTGTGCAACTGTCGCAAAGATTTTTGCATTGCCATGCGGTGCGTTTGTTGTCGTCGCCTGTCGTCGCTAACTAATTTATATGTGCATATTAAATTAGCCCGAGCGGCGTAAAGTGAGTGTCGTGCTTGGCATTAGTTCACACCCCAAGTCACACACATAGCCACACACACACACACACACATACTCAGATTCAAGAGCGAGTTGATGGCTTTTATTATTTAATTGACAGTCTCAGGCGGGTTGCTTCCTGTGTCGCACGCCTCGTATACGCAATATTTCACTCGACAAATGAAAATGGAGTTTTATTCGTTGCCCAGCACTAACAAACAAATCTCTCTCTCTCTCTCTCTCTCACTCTCTCTCTGCCTGTGTAAATCTTAATTTGTGCTCTTGAACTGAACCAAACTGAATTTGAAAACTAGATTGAAAACTAGTTTTTCACATTGTATTTTTTGATATTTCAACGCAGTTTTATTTTTTGATTAAAAAATATCTGGCTCGTGCAATCTTTTGAGTCTTTAATCTTTAAAGACTTTAATCAATTCTGTTCTTCAACCGATTTATTTGTATACATATACTCTGACATCCAAGCAGGCGTGGCAAATGGACAAGATCGATGATTGCAAATCGATAATCGAGTAAACAAATATGTTGGCAGTTATATTATGTCAACATTATGCTGTTGCTCAATCGATTTACAAATTTAATGAATATCAAAATATTAATTATGCTTTGAGAGAAAATCAGTTGGACAATGGAGTAATTTGATGGAAGTGCGAAGAAAGTTAGCTGTGGTTGCAGCATGTAGCAATAAATGAATGCAGACAGCAGAAACCCAGCAACCTACCCCTGCCACCTAAGTAGTGCATTGTTTTGTTTATCACTTGGTGCGTTGCCATTAACAAATCTCCGTTCTTTCATTTGCAGCAGCAATCGCTGAGCAATACAAGTGCGGACAGCGGCAAAGGTGCAAAGTTTTTACTGCGAAAACGCAAATCGAAGAAGACACCAGCAGCAGCAGCAGCAGCAGCAACAACAACAACAAAAACAGTTGCTACGAATGGCGACCAGACAGGTAAGCCAAGACAGAAAACAATGGCAAACAATGGCAAACAATTTGAAAAGTGGCTTTAAGAGCAAATGGTGCAAAGTTTTCGAAATTGCCATCATTAGTTATTGTGTGCACTGAGTTTGTACTTTGCATTTAATTAATTGCAATTTGCAAGCAACTAATTTAATAAATATCTATATATATATATATAAATGTATTCTCACTTTCCCGCTCTTCTCCCCTCACCCCTCACCACTCACCCCTTTCCCAATTTTTCCCATTTTTCGCATTCCTTTGTTCTTTTGTCTGTGTGGGCCTCAACTATTTTCAGGCAAGGCGGATACGCAGCCTTCGATTAAATGCGTTCTGGTTGGCGATGGCGCTGTTGGCAAAACCAATTTGATCTTGTCATATCTGGAGAATCGATTCAATCCGGAGCATGTGCCGACGGCATCAGATATTTATAACGGTAAGTTGAGTACCCGGAAAATTACAAAAATTGTAAAATTGTGAAAATTGTGAAAACTGTGAAAGCGTTGATTGCCTGCCTGCGCGCGCCCTCTTGACGCGTAGTCGACTGACTGCGCTTTTCAACAGGTTTACTTAACAGCATTTTTTGGTGTACACACATACACACACACACACACACACACACACACACACACACATAAGCAGCAGGTTCTTCGCCGTAGCAGCCTACGACCTTCGACTGCTTGCAACCCTCCCCTGCCACCCCATTGCCGTCTCTGTGCCACGTATATGAATTTTTCATTCTGCTGAAAACCAATTTGTGAAATCTTTACTGAGTTTCCGTGTGAAGGATGCGGCGCTCGCTCGGCATTCGACTGTGGGCCAGTCTCAGCTGACGGAAGCAGGCGAAAATGATGTTCAACTGCCTGCAGGCCACGAAACCCTACCATCCATAACCCCACCCCCACCCCCACCACCAACACCACCCCCACCACCAACACCACCCCCAAGACACCCCCACCGCCTGCCAATCTCCACCCCTGCCTCAGCCCTGCGCCTCCTCTCCCCCTTTATGCTTCAGTGGCACTGCTAGGCAGGCAGGAAGGCAGCTTCATTTGACTTTCACTGCTTCCGCATTTGCGCTCTCTCATGCCATATGTAGGTGTGAGTGTGTGTGCGAGTGTGTGTGTGTGTGCGAGTGTGTGTGTGTGTGCATATGTATTAGTATGTTGAGCCTGGGCCTGTGTGCTATTCACGAATTTTAATGAACGGAAAATTGAAATTTGCGGTTATTCAGAGCAGCAGCAACAACAATGGCAATGACAACAACAACAATAAGAAGAAGAACAACAACAATCACAACAAGAAATAAGAAGCGCATCGCAACAGGGCCATAAAAATGGCAGACGCCTGTCGCCTTTGCCATCTTTTTACTAGTCTTTTATGTCAGCTTGTAGGCACTTGCATTGCAAGTGATTGAATTATGTTGTGCCATACACACACACACACACACACACACGCGCATACATACACACACAAAGCCTATGCGGTACTCCAGGCTGCTGCTGGTGCTGCTGTTGCTGCTGTTGCTGCTGTTGCTGCTGCCACTTGACGTCGTCCTGACTCTAATAAATTTTACATGAATGTGCACTTATTTCATGCCGCAATGCCCTGAATCCTGAATACAGAATTCTGAATCCGAAGAGTATTGTACCCTCTTTCCTTTTCCGATAGGGCTGGCAACCTTGCATCGTCCTCTAAAAATCTCAGCTGTAAATGTCACTTCACTTTAAGCGCTTCCCTTTTGCAAAAAAATGTAGTAAAAATCATTGTAATTCAACTTAATTATAATTTATACAAACAATATATATATATTAATATATTTTTTTTTTAGCTATAAGTGAATTTCCCTTAAAGTTCTCGTAATTCGAATTTGCAATGAAATCATGTCGTTGATTGATCTGTTCACAATATTCCTAGTTAATAAGTGTGCAATGTTCATAGCGAATCATCTGCTGCTTTTACCGTTGCTGCGACTATTCCTATGTCAATTTGCGTCAATTGCGTCACTTATGATTGGTTGCGTAGTTGCCCAAAAATAAAAATAAATTGAGAATGGGAATGGGAATCAGAATGTGAATGTGAATGCCGCCAACGCAATTCGTATATTGAGCTGAGCTGTCGCTTCGTTTCAAGTGCGTCAATCATACTTCCTGGTTCTTCTTCTTCTTTTGCGTCTGCTTCTTCTGCTTCTTTTCTTCGTCTATTCGTCTATTCCTTATGCCTTATCCTTGGTCAGTCTGCGTCATTTGCGTGCGTCTGCACCTATTACGCATACGCCATGTCGCGTCATTTGCCAAATGCCATGCATAACAAGCTCTCCTTAAGAGTGCAGCGCAGAAACATAATTCGCTAACCCATCCACACACACACACTCACACACACACAACGACAAGGAGCATGGCTTCCATATTTTGCATGTGTTTTGCATATTTGCGAGAGGCTTTGCATAGTTGCGCCACATATATATATATATATATATATATATATATATATATAACCCTTGTGCATAGTTTCACTAATTATGCAATTAGAGACTCACATCATGAAAATGAGTGGATTACAGAAAGACACACGGATATTAGAGAGTTGGCTGACATAGAGAGCGAGAGACAGAGAGAGAGAGAGAGAGAGAGAGCGGGAGACTGGAAGCTGATGCACTCATCAAATGCCATTACATTAATTGAATGCCCAACTAAGCGTTATCAAAATGAGCTTAATCTGACTTGCTTCAAATGATATGCATAAAAAGTGTGCGAGTGTGTTCGACTAGAAGATACTCTGTACATGTATGTATTTACATATATTTATATATATATATGTGTATAGGAATAATCACAAAAGTATTGATTTCAACTATATCTGATGTTATTTTGAGTGAGTAGCGAGCCTCTCATATGCGCTAACGAGTCACAGACTGGCTAATTGGCACTGGTGCTATTAACTGTATCCATTGCTCACTTTCTATTAAGCGCTATTGACAGATTGAGCAAGAGAGTGAGTGATTCAATGACTGACTGGCTGACTCAATTAGGTTTCAATAAGACTGCGTCAGCAGCAGCAGCAGCAGCAGCAGCGGCAGCCAAGCGATTGACTGACTTTCAAAAGCCGTCGACAAGTAACAATTACACAATTGCCTCGCTTGCCACGCACACACACACGCACACACACACGCACACACACACACACACACTCACACACACACAAGTAGGAGCTTAGCAACCGCTAACAACGCTTTGTCTTCTTTTGTTATGCGCCATTTGGCCGCTGGGTGGCGCTTTTCTCAGCCATTCAATGTGCAAAGTTGAGTTTTATTTGCTCGTATTTCGCATGTTTCTTTTCGCTTTTTTTATGTGACATACTTTTTTATAACGTGCATAACCAAATCGATAATCGATTAATAAGCCAATGCTGAGATGAGGCATGAAAACGACACCATCCCAAATTAGGCCCAATAGTATGCTACACTAAATTGCTGGCCAAATAAAAGAGAGAGAGAGAGAGAGAGAGAGAGAGAGATGCTCTCTCAGCGAGAAACGCTTTCATCGCTCTCCTAACATACTCTCAACTTTTGGATTTCGATTTGGATTTGGATTTGGCATGCCATTTAACGAAAAGCATTTAACATGCAATTGAGTGCTGGCAATAACTTTTTGACTCTACCACAGCAATGGTAAAAACATTGGCGATTTCAAGTCAGCTGGCAGCTGGCAGCTGATCCAGAAGAGGCGAGGACTATGCAAATAAGCTGCATAAGGTAATAGCCAATAAGGAACAATTGATGCAAAGAATGCAGACGGTCTGCAAGTCAAGTTGCAAGTTTGTCAGCCAGCCAGCCAGCCAGCCAGCCAGTTAGTCAACCAGCCAGTCGGCCAACCAGCCAGGCAGTTAGCCAGTGAGTTACTCAGTCAATCAGCAAAGTGAAGCTTCTCGTTCTTTTCCCAACGGCCCATCTGCTTATGCATTTGCATGTGTGCTGCATTCAACCGGCATATACCCTGTAGACGAGAGCGTGGAGGCAGGATGTGTGGCTAAGACACAATATTAATGTCTGCAGAGTCCACAGTCCAAAGTCTACAGTACTATACTATATATGTCTAGCATTAGACTAACATCCTTTGATGCACAATATCAACGCTCAAACACAGCTCGGAGAGATGTACCTACCAGAGAGTGCCCTGTTGTGTAAGAGTACCCTTAGTCTTCTGCACAAAACGCAGCAGTTAGCTGAAATGGCTAACTTGCTGGTTGGTACATCATCAAGTGTGGTTTGGAAGGTTCGTTCGTTGGTTGGTTGGTTGGTTGGTTGGTTGGTTGGCTGCTTGGTTGTTTGGTTCGTGCATCGTTGCACAAATGCATTCATGAAATTTATGCTCGCCAAAATGAAATATATTTTAAATGAGCCACGAGGGCGACCTTCGACGACCTGCTGATTAAAAACTCAGAGCGCACCAACTTTATTCACGCAGCGTAAACAGCAGCAGCAGCAGCAGCAGCAGCGGCAGCAGCAGCGGCAGCAGTTGAATTGAAAGGCAGTCATGATTAACTTTTAGATAGCGCCGCACACATGGGGCAAAGATGGGAAGAGGGGCAGCGATGGGGGATGGGGATGGGTGTATGGGTGGATGGGGGTAAATGTGTTTGGCAATGTGACGTGAGGTCAGATGTGCTTCACGGTGCATGAGAAACAAATTGAAACTCTCTCTCTCTCTCTCTCTCTATCTATCTCTCTCTCACTCTCGCGCTCTTTGCTCTATCTCTATCAGCTCCCCTGGCAATCCTTATCACTTTGCACGCGTTTCAAATAAATGTTTAAATATGAATGCACTGCACACACACACACACACACACACACACACATGTGTCTAACATAACGCTGCCAATTCAGTTTCCACCCACTTGAATCATCATTGTTGCAGGCTGCGAGTGGAGCATAAAAAACCAGCAAGCAGCCAGCATGGCAATTAGGAAATGTTGCTCTTGCTGCACACAAATATGTTGCATACTTTTTTGATGCGAAACTGGTTGGCTATTGTGTCATCTCCCCGTCCACGAGACCCCGACTACAAGAAAAGTGTTCGAGTTTAAGTATCTGGCGACATTTGTAGATATTTCCTACGCTATTCGTTTTATTTCACAGCAGATTACTGCACTGAATAATTCAGTTGAGAAAGATCAATCGAAAAGATTGAGATTTGAATGCAGTTCGATTTTCGAATTTCTGATTGATTTTCCCTTCGTTTTTTATTTACCTTTGTTTCAATACATTAACAATATTTGATTATAATCAATATATAATTGTTTTGTATCGAAAAAATAATTGATTAGAAACGTTTTTTATGGCAAATGCCGGTTTATGCAGACAGAGAGACTGGGAGAGAATGTTGAGCCTGATCAAGAATATATATTCATTATGGAGTTGGAGACGCCACCTTTTGACTGTTGCACACTTTTGCAGAATTATGGGTTCCAATATTATTTCATAGTAAGACTTCAAAATCATCAATATTTAAATATACAAATTTTGAAATCTTTGAAAATTATTATCTTTTTGAGATTACCTTGCTGAAAATCGGAATGAAAAACTAAATAAATACAAGCTTGGACTGCTTAGCCCAGGGGGTGGCAGGTGGATGGGTGGCATCGTGTGTTGAATGAAAAGCCACTTAATTACATAAGCCCAAGGCAAATACAAGTCCCAAAAAACATTTCATTCGCAGCTCGCAGCCACCAAATTGAAGATGTTGCCACATCTTGGCTGCGAGCAACCGCAACTCCACAGAATACACACACACACACACACACATGCATACATACATACATACTTAACCATATGCACAACATTACTTTGAGAAAGGGATGCCTGAAATAGCAGCAGCAGGTTATACACACACACACACACACACAATTATTTGGCTTAAGTAATTTCAATTATATTCGCGGTTGCTGCTTACTAGTAGATTACACACACACACACACACACACACACACACACACACACACACATACATACGTAATTAGATACATGCATACAAAAATATTTAGATTCGTAAATTTCTCCCGAAAATTATTTCCAGTCTGTTTTGCATTTGTTGCGATGTTGATGCCAAGCGAAGATGTTCTATTTATTTGCAAATTTATTTATACGAATTTAGATTTATAATTTGATTTTATAATTATACTTTGATTTTGATTTAAAATTGATTTTGAATTTCACATACAACATTTACAAGCAAATAAGTGTAAGAAAATCAAAGTTGAATATTTTAAAGATGCTTCGTTCCCTCATTGCTAAATCTGTGCGGAGTTTCTCAGTTGCTCAATCATGTATGCATGCGGTTGGTGGGTGGGTGGGTGTGTCTGCCACTCTCCCACTCTCTATCTGTGTGTGTGTGTGTGTGTGTGTGTTTGTAAGGTTAACAGCAACAAAATTGTGATCTTAAATGCTTGCAATGGTTTTTCAGTAGCATTCTCGCATTCTGCGTTCGTTGCCTGCGATGCGGTCCGAATATGTTAGCCAAAGGATTTGGCCCAATAGTCTCTCGGTCTGTCTCTGCCCGGCCTGGTCTGTCTAAAGTGAAGTGCACCGCAATGCAGAGTCGAATGCCACGCATAGTTGCCCCTCTGAGAGTGGCTAAGTGTGTGAGTTAAAAGCCATATTAATCCCTATGTGTTTCTCTCTCTCTCTCTCTCTCTCTCTCTCTCTCTCTCTCTCTGTCTGTGTGTGTGTGTGTGTGTGTGGATGAGTGGATGAGTGTGTCTGCGCTGAGATGTATGCTATGCCAAAAATTTGCACTTGCGTGGGCCTAGCCGGGAATGGGATATCTTTTGAAATGAAATTCCCAAATGGAATTCAATCGAAAATACCTGAGAAGTAATGCAATTGTTTGAGTGCCCGAGATACCATTTAAATATACACATATATAAATGTATATCAAATATATCATTTGGCAATCGGCGCTCGCAATTACATTTGCAACCTGCTGCGACACTTGTGCTTCTTCTTTCTTGCCTCTTCTTCATTAACAAAAAGCCTCAAAAACCAAAATAGCTACACGCGTGCACTTAATTTTAATTACAACACCGCCGGAGTCTTGCAGCAGAGTTGCAAATTACATACATACATACATACATACATACATACATACATACATACATACATACATATATATATGCATATATATATACAAATATATCGATGTGCTTACAGCTGAGGTGAATGTGAACGAGAGTCCCGTGCATTTGACACTCTGTGATACGGCCGGACAGGACACGTTGGATCCATTGAGGGAGCTCTCCTATCCGGACAGCGATGTGTTTCTCCTGTGCTTCTCGGTGGTCAAACCCGAAACGTTTGGAGCCATCAAATCGAAATGGGCACCCAAATTTGCCAAAACAAAGGCGGCCCTCATATTGGTCGGCACCCAAGCCGATTTGAGGAGCAATCTGAATGTGTTGAACAAATTACAGGTGAGTTTCCCCATTTCCCCATTTCCCCGTTTCATTTGTATTCCTTTTTTGCTGGTTTTTCTTCTTCTTTTTTTGTCTTATACATTTATCATTTGTTTGTGTTGCATGTCTGTGTGTGTACAAATTGTTAAAATATTTATGAAATTCTTATTTGATTTCATATATGTGCTTGGGGGCGTGCTGCTTTCCATGGATGAGCAGACAAATGGCGAGAAACCAATTTCATATGCCGACGCCTGGGACTTGGCAACAACAATTGGTGCCAAATACATTGAGACTTCGTCAGCCACACAGGTGAGTCACTGGATGGGTTAGTGAGTGAGTGAGTGAGTGAGTGAGTGAGTGAGTGAATGAATGACTGGGCAATGAATGTTGCTGCAATGTTACGATGTTACGGGATGTTGGGCTAGTCAGTTGGGCCTGCCCCATCATATTAATTAAAGCAGCAGCAGCAGCAGCAGCCACACAGACAGTGACTGTTGCCACAAACCTACACACACACACAGACGGAGATAGATAGATAGAGCGAAGGAGTGAGTGAGTGAGAACTGGCCCGCAAAGTCATTGCACCAGCAAACAGTAGCAGCACCAACAACACCAACAACACCAACAACACCAACAACCACAACAACCACAACAACCACAACAACAAACACAACTTAGAAGGTCCATCTTAAGCACGTCGAAGATTACATACACTAACAGAAGGGCATCCAACTGATTTCCAACTGGTTTAATTGCTTTTTGTGGTTCAAGCAAGAACTCATCTTCTGGCCGATCTGATGCTGACATATGTCAAATGTTTGCAAAGTGTCAGAACTGATATATATATCTATATATATATATCTAAACATTTGAACGGTTCGCAGATACGACAAAGTTAAAATACCCGCTGCAAGGGCATACAAATAATATTCAAGAAATCCTTTGGGCTGTCGCTGTCTGTATGCAAACACTTAAAAAGGAAACTCTGCACAACGATGACGCTTGGGAGGCGTTTGCCTTTGGGGCAATGTGCTTCAACACGCTGCTCTTCTCATTCAAAAGACACAAACACACACACACACACAGAGAGAGAGACAGAGACAGAGAGAGAGAGAGAGAGAGAGAGAGAGAGAGAGAGGGGGAGAGAGACACATACATATACAATAATCATAATTGTGCGGTTTTCGGGCTGGTTAGTATAACGGTAACAGCTTGCGCCTGGCAAAGCTGGCAATGCTTGCAACGTTAATGTTTTGCCGCAGCACAAACTTCCGAGTCCAGAATGGATGTGGAGTGGAGTGGCACAGTGGAGTGGCACAGTGGAGTGAACCAAAGCCACCTTTTTGTCAGCCGTGCATTGCACTCGTCCTTCCCAAAGGAGGCGCTAATGCTTACTGACTTTCCAAAGGAAGATGCAATTTTTTGTACTATACCCTGCCATATTAGGCATGCCACAAATGGGTTTGCCTCATTTGGCAACAGTAGCATAAACGGATCGTATTCAATCAGTATCAGACTTATCAGTATACAAATTATAACTATTCACAAATGGGAACTAACTTAACATCGAATATGTTTTGGGGTTTACAGGGTATCTGTGTGCTCGTACATTCCCAACTAGAGCACTGTGCGTTCTCTTTTTAGTGATAAACGAGACGACAAATTGCTTCAAGTGCAAAGAAAAAAAAATATGTAAAAAAAATCAGTGAGACGAGGCGGAAAAATTGCAGTGGAGCGCAGAAAAATTCGAAATAAATGCATCCAAAGTCAGGCGGCGACAAGAAGGACGTCTTTTTTTTATTATTATTTTTTTTTTTTTTAAATACATTTATGGTATTCTGTCAAATATACAGATTGACTTTAATATATATACGAATTTCATCATCAAATTAATTAAAGTGGCGGAATCCCAATGGGGTTTTATTGGGTCGATGGAAACAGACTCTGAGCAATTCGTTAGTTATGATTGTTGGCTAATATTGCAATATATGTTAAGTTGTATATAATTTTAGCTTCTGCATCTCTCATTAATCTTTTTAATGTTCTATTTCCATTGTGTAAATGCAGGATAAAGTCAAAGATGTGTTTGATACCGCCATCTGGGAGGGATTAGTGCCCACCACGTTGCCGCCGACACCTTCGTTCTGGAGAAAGCTTTTCTGCTTGGCCTAAACCGGACCCAACTGAATTCTAAATATTCATTGCAACTCGAAGAAAAACACTCAAACTTATTATTATTATTATTTTTTTTTTATTATCATATTTATATATATTACGCTATGCGCATATTTAGATCTACTTAATTATATGCATTATATGAAAATCTTTTAAAACTTACTCGTATATTATACATACAAACATAGATGTATTTGTTTAGCAGTGCTTTTGAAAAATAACTGCACTCGCACTCACTGACTGATCTATTCATAAAGTATATAACAAAAAAACTGAGAAAAAAAACAGAGGAGGGAAAAAGATAATGTTGCGAATATCATTACAACATTATTCTGATAGCAAAAAAAATTCTTTTTTTTTATGATTATTATTATTATTAAACAGTTTTGAATGCAAGCAACTGTTAATTATTGTGCTTAATTTTTAATGATGCTAATTTGTAATTTTTTATATAAAATTAAGAGCACTGATTAAAAACAAAAAAGAGTATGCAAGCGCATACATACATCGATAATCATATACATATATCATATTATATATATATATATATACTTGCATACAGAGCAAGCAAGCTGCTGTTACGTCATTCCATCCATTTAAGCATTAAGTTTTATATCTTTAAAATACCCTAGTTGTAGTAGTATGTCGACAACAAAACAAACAAACAAACAACAACAACAAAAGAATAAAATATATACAATACGAACTGTACAAGCAAAATTATGTAAATGCTCATTTTATTTTATTTTTTCTTCTTCTTCTCTCTTCCATTGAAGATGATGGAAACGTTCAAGGGGTAAATATGCTGCCTACTTACGTATGTATATGGAAAGGCCACAACCACAACCAAACCCAATGGTCTGCATGCTAATAGTGAATTGTGTGTGTGTGTGTGTGTGTGTTGGTGCTATTTCAATTTCTGTATCAATTTGTGGCGAAAATATTTTCGGGGATACGCATTTAAAGCGTTTTCAACAACGGAGAGATTCATGCATATGAATTACACAAATGCTTAACAGTGGATCGCCCACTCACAATGAATGCTCCAAATACATCAATCAACACATCTCGACGGACATGCCAGCAAAGCTTAACAGGTTTCGCTGGCTATTGAAGTACACATCTAAGTATCGTATCATCTTCATTACCTTCAAGGCAAATCAATAAAAGTGACTTTGGAGTCATCGAGCCGGATCCAGTAGAACGTTTGTCCAATAAACCAATTAACACATCTCCTGTACTTATAAAATTATTTCAAAATACAAATAGTTTTGCCTACTTTGCGGACGCCTTAAGTTATGCAATTTAATTTTTTAGTTTTAGTGTCAGCTGAGTTGCGACTATGGCATTTTTATAGCCTAAATCCATTAAAAAGGGGGTGTATGGGTTTTGTACGAATGTATGCTACACGGCAGAAGGAAGCTTCTCCGACACCATAAAGTATGTATATAAATATATATATATATATATATGTTCCATGTTCCATGTATATATATAGCCATGTTCAACTGTCGGTTAACAACACTGGGTAAAGGGTATCACGTTGTCTAGCTTGACTCGACATCAGCATTCTTACTTGTTGTCGAGGGGATTTGGGGATGCCTCTCGCGTTGCATGAATAATGCCCGATGTTTAAACCGTAAGCGTCGAGAAAAGTGCCACTGAAAAGAATAATAATAATAAATGCCGAAGGATAGAAGAGCAAAATCAACAAAACAACAACATTAGCGTAGACTTTTGCTAAAGCAAACAAAAGCGTGCTGCTTAACAAAACCAAAACACACGCACTCTGAACCTCACACACACACGCACGCACACTCACACACATACACACACTGACACACACTGACACACACACACACACACGCCCAACACATACATAGACACACTTTCAGTCGGTGCGATGAAATTTGAGCGAAAGTTAAGCGCAGCTTGCCAAGTTTTTACAGCTTGCACACCCAGAAAAAAACCACAAAATGAATTTAGTCGCGGAGAGAACGAACGTCAGTGAGTAAGTTAGTCTGCATGCCGCATGCAACGTGCAACTTGCAACTTGCAACTCCATTTTTTGGCATCAAGTGTTCTGTTGACATTGATGCCTTGATTGCAGCTTCAGCTGGCAGCAACGTTGCGGCTACAGCAAACCGAAATGCTCGTCAGCCCGCACATTCCCCAACTCTCTCACTATCTACTTTTTTTTTTTTTGAGGTAAAAAGGCAACGAAATTGAAATATTAATGCCGGGACAGACAGTTAACAAGTTCGGTGACAGCAGCACAGTCAGCTGCCATCCAAGTGCAGTGTAAACATTTTGCACATTGTCTCGCTGCGGATTGGGTGTGCCAGGGAGCGGTTGCGGTGATAGTGATGGAGTCGCGGTCGTGTTTGGGGTCGGTCGAGTGTCAAGGTGGCAATGGCAAATCTTGACGGTAAACAGTTCGTGCAACTGCCGACAGCAACAGCAGCAGTAGCAGTGGCAGTAGCAGTGGCAGTAGCAGTGGCAGTAGCAGTAAGAGCCCAAGTAACAAACAAGTTGCATTAAACTAAAGCCATTCTAAGAAAGTTGTTGTTTTTACTAGCACATTATATTACCCACACACACACACACATAAACACACAGACACACACACACGTAGTACCCAGACACATGGTATTTGGCTAGTATGAATGTTTGGGCAATTTGAAGTCATAAATTTGGAATTTACTTGACCTAAACGTCAAATCATAAGCCTTTCGAGCATGTCCAACACATTGCCTTGGCATCATTTGTGCCATTACATCCTCCAGGTCTACAACCCCGCCCACCCTCCGCTCTCACACTCTTCCACTCTTCCACCCTGCCCACTGCCACATGCCCAAATAAGAGCACTTAACAGCATTGCGCAGAGACGTCGCTTTATTAGGCCAAATATAAATCAATAGCCTAAAAGAAGAACATGGTCATGTCATGTTGAAAATTTATAGCCCTGCCACTTACGTGTGTGTGTGTGTGTGTGGGTGGGTGGGTCAGAGATGGGCCCAAATGAAATATCGACATGTGTGCAATAAATAAATAATTCATTTTTACACAATACTTGTAACTTGCAAAGTAAATGTTCAGAATTACACAAACGCATTTCAATTAATATATTTATATTATTTTGTTGTAATTCCAAAACACATTTTTCAATTTTATCCCACTAAAGATTTGTTTTCAACCCGCACTTGACTTCAAATCGAAATTTACATCAATAATTTCTTACACAACACGACAATAGGTAGAAAAAGAATTATTTTTTGTTTTATATTTTTCGTTTTTAGATACAATAAAGACATAAAGCAAATCGAAGAGACAAATAAAATGTAAGCCGATTGCAAAATTGAACAGAATGGATTAAGCTCCACAATAGAGAGTTGTTTATTTTCCATCATTGTTGGTCTTTTTTCATCAATAAATATTTCTGATGAATTTGATATATATATATATGCTTAATCGGATCCTTTTGCCAATTGTAGAGGCTGAATAGCGGAATATATTCAACGTTGGATTTTCTCTGACGCAGCACAAAACAAATGGAAGTCAGACAATGAAAATAAGGAAATGTATCGTTAAATGAGTGAAAATGAAAAAGAAAATCGGGGCGAAATCAATTCAAGTTTATAATGAAAAATACTACGTCCCATGCTGCGTGATCTGAAGAAGAAGAGATGTCTCTGTGTGTGTGTGCGTGGAATTTCTTTTCTTTTCAATTTGTTTTTGTATTTGGTATGATGCTTTTTTCTTCTTTTTGGGCAACTCTTTGTTTGGTACGTGCTCATAAAACCGAAGCCGAGCCAACAGCTGGAGCTGGAGCTGGAGCTGGAGCGGGTAGCAAAACGACCGATTTCACCACGCGGCTATTTATGTGGGTCATTCACGCGAAAAGGATGCGACGCCAGCCCCACCAATTTCTCCATTCGTCCGCATCCGCATCCGCATCCGTGTCCCGTGACGTTACGGCTGCGTGTGTGTGTGTAATTTACTTAGAAATAGATACAGATACTCTAACCGTGTGGAGCGGCAAAGGGTCGGAACGGGGCACGGGGCACGGGGTATCCTGACACACATGTAAACGTCGCTACTTGAACCCTTGATTGCGGTGGTGACGCTCGCCGGTCGCCCATTGTTCGACTTGAAGCTTGGGCTAGAACCTTGGAGCTTGGACTAAAACTTATAATCATAGCATCATCAACAAAATTATCGTTTTGCCACAGCACGGACCGACTGAAGACAGAAGGAAGAATGTGAAGGGAGGAGCGGAGACGAATAGAAGGCATCGCACAGATACACTCGCCATTTAAGAGCATAAAAGCGAAACGTGCTTGAAATGTGAATTACTCTCACTCACACAGACACACACACACACAGACACACACACACACAGACATACACACATTGTATTCTGTGCACTTGAAGTGGCTGAGTGTGTGCGTGTAAGTCGCTTTTTGCTCTTTGGTTGCTTTGGCTCATAACTTCAACTATTTTACACGAACGAACGAGCGAACATTTACTTTACTTTACTTTACTTTACTTTACTTTACTTTTTTCCAGCACGCTTTCCTTTTATTTACTTATTTTAGTGCTTACTTCCGTTCGCTCACGCACACACTCACACACACACACACATACATTGGCACTTACAAAGGCACACCTACAATGTTTTTGATGTTTTTTTTTTCTTATTTTTTTTTTTAGCAAATTAACAAGTCAACTGTCTTCCAGCTGCTTTCTTTTGCTTTGTATTAACGATTAAGTGCAAGTCTGCGATTTTTAGGTTCTTCTTCCATTGAAAAGTCCCCTGTGAATGGTTCGATAAGTTCTGTGTGATTATTGCCTTAAGTGCCGAGAAATTGTACTTATTCCACAGGATTAACTGGCATTCGACCAATTTCCTTTCAGATGTTGTGAGCAATTTCACATTTGCCATTCATTCTGCATGGCTATGTGATTTTTTCTTCGTCTTCTCGTTATATATTCAAATATAAATTATTATTTTCTTATTATTGTTTGGGATTGTGGACAATTTTTAATAATTTCTATATATATATATAGAAATATATATATAAAATGACTGGCAATCGTTGGCCGTTGTCATAGGTATACAATGTATTTGATGAGGGATTGCAGTCTCTCAAGTCTGCTGGCAACCGATGCCATTGATTTTTATTCGACAATAGCTGTATGCTCGAGTGTGTGTGCCGTGTGTCGGCTCTGTGTGTGTAAGTGGGCTTGTGCCTTAATAATGATTTCGTTTAATTTCAACACCAAAATCCGCACGGACGCATCACGAAGAGCGCAAATACTTCGACTCCCACGAAAATTGGGTGGGTGTCTGGGTGGGTGTGTTTGGGTGTGTGTGTGTATGTTTGGCTATGTGCTCCTTTGGGTACGTTCGTGCCTCAATGAGTTCGCCTTTTGTTCGTTTCGTCGACTTCCGCAGTCGAAAACCTTTTTGCGCTAATTGCAATTACACAAAATATTGTTTACACACACTTTTCTCAAGCCGCAGTGTTCAACGCTCAATAACATATATAAATGAGCATGAGTGCTCAATTGTAAATGAAATAGAATTCGTCAGAAAGAGAAACACAAAAAGACTGAGACAGAGCTAGAGACAGCGAGAGAGAGAGAGTGAGAGAGAAGGAGAATAAGAGGTGTTGTGTATGTAAAACAATATAAAGGGAATCAGTGCTTAATTAGTAAAATGATGACTGGCTCGTTTGGAAATGCCGTTTGTTCTTCGCCAAATACACCAAACTTATCAAATATTTCGGAATTATTTAGTATTTATGAGACAATAAATGAAGTAAGTGGGCCTAAACCCATTGTGGAAATGAGTGCAAAGTGATCTCAAATTAGCATTACCGAGTTAAGTCAATTTAAAACACAATTCTTGATGAGCTGTTTTCATGTTATTTTCATCGAAGTGAAACAGCACCAACTAATCAAATGGTCTTGAATTAAGTGTCGCAATCTTTAACTCAGGTGTTTTTGTTATATTTTCAAGTGGTATTTGTGCACGCAACTCCAGCAACTCCAACAACAGTTGCCATCAAAACCAGTTGGCAAATTGGCTGCTCGGCAATCGGATACCTAACGTTTATCGATAAGCTTCGTTCAGTTTTCAGTTTTTACAGTCAAAAGCCGAGCAACAACGGCAAGCAAACATCAAAGCGAAACGAATGAATTTCAAATGGACTTCAAAATTTATGCAGTGCCAAGTGAGGAATAAAAAAGTCATGCTTGAATTGCCATCAGGGGAGACATGGAGATAGAAACATACTCGTATAAGGGATGAGGGATGAGGGATGGTAGATGGTAGATGGGGACCGCTAGGAATATGAATATGGGATCAACGAGCAGGATTCTAGTGTTCCGAGTCGAGATTAGGAGCAGCTAGCATGCAAATTATATATATATATATACACGGATATGAATACAATTTTTACTGCAGCTATTTAGTTTTTGTTCGCATAAATTTCCATAAATGCGTAAAGGTAATCAGGAAACGAGTTGCAAAACTTGATCAAATGCAAAATGGGCCCAGAAACTTCAATCAACTTGCAACTTGAGTTCCCAGTTTCAATCTGTCTCTCTCCCATCCATTACTCTATGTTGTTGGAGAGTTCCTTAGAACAGATTGAAAAACTTGAACCAAACACAAACACAAAATTCACAAAACAAACCACAACTCACGTGGCCAAACTGAGACAAACGCAGTGCACTTTGAACTCAACTCAACTCAACTCAAAATGAACTGAAGTCAAGTCGCGCTGGGTTCAGGGATGGCAAACGCTTTCGATTCTAATCGAATGGATTATAAGCAGCGGAAATCCTTAAGTCCGATTAGATAAGAATTAGAAAACAGTATCATGCAAAGAGTTTTTCTGATTATCCAGCATCTAATCGTAATACACTTAAAAAAAAACTACTGGCAGTCATTTTTGCAAAATTCTATAAATTTATATTTATATTAAGCTTGAATATATTTATTAAAATTTCGTTTTTAATTATTAGTTTTTTTTTTTAATAAATCGATAGCATCAATAAGATCACATATTAGCCATAATTTTAAATCTTGGGGCACAAAATTGGGAGTATTTATTCATTTTCCGAGCACGCCGCCAAAAACGGGTATATCCAACAATGTTCCAATTTGATTTTGCTTTTCGTTAGCAATTTTTGCAAATTTTTGGTTTTATGGGTGTCGATAATTAAATGAATCGACGCGAGTAATGAATTTAAATGCCAAAGTGATTATAATTGTGATTGGCTTAAAATTAAAAATTAAAGGCCACAACTCACAACATTATTTGTGTGCATAATTCATGCAGAGAGATGAGCACAAATCGTATAATGCTTTTGTGTGTGTGTGTGTGTGTGTGTGCAACCCTGGTCAGGATGTCGAGTAACCGAGTTGCCGAGTTCAAAGTAAAGTCCAGCGTATGTCAAGGGTCAAGCAAATATGTACGACCAGAATATGCGATGGCGCTATGGACGACAACAACAACAACAACAAGAGCAACAAGAGCAACAAGAGCATAACAAGAGCATATTACAAAAGTTATGTGCCGGAAATGAAACGGAAGCTGACAATATTCACTGGGATTCCGGCCGACATGGCGCATACGTAACGTGCAAAATACGTGACGTGATACGTGATACGTGAGATGAACGTGACATGCGAACTGTCATCTGCTCGGACTCGCAGCAGTTCAATTATGTTGCAACTGCAACTGCAACTGGAACAACAACAGCCACAACTGACATAACTGACACTTATCGGCAACTGTTTTCTAAGTTTTTTTTTTTTGTTATTTTTTGTGTGAGCATTTGCTGAATAAAAGCTGTGAGCTGCATTTACGCTTAGCCAAATGGCAGAAAGTAGCCATCAGCCGAGCATGGCCGATCTAAAGCATCGCATGCTGTACCAGGGCCAGGATCCAAGTCAGCCGGTGCTGCGTCCAAGCCGTCAAGACGCACCCATCGCAGACCCACAGTATCCGCCAGCCTACGATGATGCCATTATCCAAAATGCGACAACTTTGCACCAGAGCAATCCACAATCGCACAGCGCTGACCGTCGCACCTTCTTTGCCGAGCCCCAGCATTTGAGCAGTCAACTGCTCGATGAGCGGCCTGAGCGGCATCAGCTGGCTGAGCAGCCGACACAGCAGCTACCAATTGATGGGCAGTACTCGAGTCTGCCGCAGGTGCGCAGTAAGTAACCAGAGTTGAACAGAGTCAACACAAAGTCTCAGAGACCATTAGAGCTAGAAACTTTCAATTTGGAGAATAAGTTTTTGTTGGCTATGCACAAATCAAGTTCATTTCAGTCCATAATCAACATCGATATAGACAAACGCATATTGCTTTCTAATTCTATGTATTCGATGTACTTTGACAAAATATTGATCATCTGTGTGAATAACGCAGACGTGTTCGATCTATGACAAGTAAATATTTGGGCTTGTAGGCATCTACTAGCCGGGCACTCTCGACAACATATGTTTAAATGATACTTAAATGATGCCTAAATGATAAGCTCTCTCTCTGTCTCTGTTTGTTGGATAGGCTTCGTTGCGTTGGCTCCGCAGCCTCAGTTCGGACTCCAGGCCTGTCCGATTGTGTGTCCTGCTTGTGGCAAGCAAGGACGCACACGATTGCAGCGCACGGCGAATATGAGGGCCCATTGCTGGGCGCTCTGGCTGTGCTTATTTGGGTGAGTCTGGCGAGACCAATGCATACAATGTAACTGTCATACTTGACACAATTCTCCCCATCCCCCATTTGATTAGCTGGTGCTGCTGCGCTTGTTGGTATCCGTATCTGATGGATAGCTGCCGGATCACGAGGCATTATTGCAACGCCTGCAAAACATTTCTGGGCGCCTATCATCCCAAAGATTGTTGCCACTGACTCTCTGAGGATTCATCCAAAATGAAAAGAAACTTCAGAATAACATCGACATTTTTCTGGATTTTCCAAATAATTTCTAAAATGTTTAAAATAAGAAACGTTTAAGAGTTTTTACATAAATGCTTTAGATTTGTAAGATAGCAAAAAATGCAAGCTCTTATTTATTTCATATACCCATCAACTAAAGATCATAAACACTGACTTTAAAATAAATGTCTGGCTTCATAGCACAATTAATCTTGTTTATCGATTTTCGATTTTCGTTTTTGGTTTTTTGAATTGTCATTTTGTGCATTTAGGCGTTGTGCGTCGACTTTATTGCTTTGCCAACATCCTGGCTACTAAAAGTGCTCTGCATCCTAATCGAAAAACTGCCCAAACAGACGCTGTATACAGCGGCGCTCCAGACCAAAATGGAACAGGTTCCATCCGCTTATTGAAACTAATGAGGGTCAAAATTTGGTGCTGCTGCGTATCTGTGGCCCGTGCCTTGGCTCCAAGCTGCAAGTGGCTTTCCATCAGTGCGACGCCGGCAAATTGAATTTGACGGCAATTGCATTTGCGCCACGCTTTTTGCCGACTGTTGCTGCTGCTGTCGCTGCTGCTGCATGAGTTATGCCACACAATGCAGAAGCGGCCAAAAAAAAAAAAAAACAGTGGGAATAGTGCTACTATATATTGTCCATTGTCCACTATCCATTATCCACTTTCCATTGTCCATTGTCCATTGTCCATTGTCCATTGTCCATTGTCCATGGTCCACCTCCGACGCACTTCGCGCGTTGCTAAATGTACGTGCCACACCCCCAACCCGCCGTGCAAACCCAATTAAAATGTACCGCTGCGAGTTGCATAAGCCAGTCGGATCGGATTTGCCCCATACGTCCAATTAGACTCGGCCTCAATCTACAACAACAACAACAACAGCAATCGATCCATCAGCAGCAGTTATTAGGCAACAATTCATAGCCGCATCCGGTTTTGGGGTTTCAAATGCACCTCTCTCAAAAACAAAAACAAAAGGAACAGGCACAAACAAAAAACAAAACAATATAGTCAATTAGTTGTCCGATTGCCACTAATGTAGACACAAAGCGAATTACATTTGGCGTCAAAAAAAACCTTCACTCCAAGCCGAAGGCAATCAGCAGAAGGATATATAAAACGCGCTATGCAAGTAGTCCAGTGTTCAACGGCGACTTCATAATAATAAAAATATATAATGCGAAAACAATGACAACGAGCTGCCAACAAAACACAGCAAACAACAATAACAATAAAAACAGCAACAAGAACAACAACAACATCAACCAGCAACAGCAACAGCAACAACAAAACGGAGCAAACAAACAATTGGCGAGCTGCGTTTCAGCGTGTGCCAGCAAAATAAGTTGGCAACTTTAATTAGATTAACTTGCTGGGCGCACAAACATTAATATCAATGGCACTTCAGCTGACAGGCCTGGTCTTTGGCTAATAATGTGTTTGTGCTTGTGTCGCTGCTGTTGCTCTTCTTCTTCTTCTTCTTCTTTTTGTTCTTGTTGTAGTTACACAGATGCGCAACTGAATATGGCTGCGTGTGTTGTACATATCATGATGTACACATATATGTTAATGAATCTAACGTCGAACACTGTGAAATACTTTTCATATATACTTAAATATATATTTATATATATATTATAACTTGACGTTTATATTTATTCAGAGCTTTGTATTTAATACAGAATATATGTCCGCTTCATGCATGCACTTATACTACGCGATTCAAGCGACCAAAAGCGACTGACTCTTACTTCATGAAAGTAGCTTAAGCAAACCATCGAAGAAGGTCTTGATCATAAGAAACTTACAATTACCGTTGCTCGCAGGCAAGAACAGATTAAGACTACAAAACGGGAATGCAAGACAAGCTGCGGTGTACATAGGCAAATACTCGTACAGTTATTTCCAATATAAATATTCCATTTGGCTGATTTGTACATCCATAGCGACAAGTATGGAAGAAATTGCTCGAAGACTTCTCACCAAATCAGTTAACCCACAGTGGAGCTTATGTAAATATGTCCTTGACATATGTATATATGAGTTCTTGTCTGACGAACATTTTTATATAACAAGTTGTGCGCACCAAACTGACTAAGATCAGTATCGGAACCTGATGAATTTGTGACAACGAGCAGCAATTGATATTGGACTCTTATTTCTCAAAAACTGTTAGGGTAGTTATTAGATTTTTTTTAGTTATTCGTGAAATTTATATATCGGCTGGATTATGCCGACCATACCCAAAGATTTACCTAAGCAGTGAACGTTGCAGATAATAGTAGTCGTAGTATTTATCTTAAAAGATCGAAAGATCTACTAGTTTCGGGCAAATATTAACGGATTATGATAAAATGAATGAATTAGAAAAACGATTCCGATAAATATAATATTTATATGCAATTGTATGAGTGAAATCAATAAACTAATACAAATATATGCTAGGATAATATATAATCATAAAATATGGCATTAAACTCAATTACTCCATCCGAGATTCAAAATTCGTCCCGAATACAAAATATCTATATGGCGTTTTTGGGGCTTGTGTCGTTATTGTGCTGCTCAGCGCTATAGCCACATAATAAGATAGACACAGGCACACACATATGTACACACACACACACACACACACACACACACCGACATACATACTCATTTAACGGTGGCACTTTGGCATCGGTCTGTTTGCAACTGTGGGCGACGTTTTTCTCGAAAATTGACAAATTTTGGCGGCAAATGTTTGCGCAACATATTTACGGATATTTGCGGCGTGTTGATTTGTTGATTACGCTCAGCGATGCGTAATTTGAGCCAGAGGCACACGGCAGAAGCAGCAGCAGCACCAGAAGCTGAATCAGACAGACAGTCAGACAGACGGACAAACTGACAGTTGAATTAGAGCGTAAGCGGATGCAGATACAAACGTATGCGAAGCCAAACGAATGGCTAATCAAATTAGCAAGCAAAATCAATTGCAAATATTTTAATTGCTGTCGTCGTCGTCGTCGTGCTGTGATTCGGGGAGTATTCGAACTAACTGCTGGCCACTCACTGGTTGCACATCCAACTCGATGCCAATTGCGGGTCAAAAAAAGGGGAGGCAGTTTAGAGTTGGTTGCAGTTCAAGCTGTGGCAACTGGGCGAACTGTCTAAAAAGGTCAGTCAGTTGGAACTGGACAAAAATGATGGAGACACGGCGTAGCAAGCAAATGGCCTGCAACGTCTGTCGTCCTTAGTCCTTAGTCCTTTCCGTTGCAGGACTCGCAGGTCTCGAGCACTCGAAGCGCTGATATCCATATCGAATCGTCTGCCGACTAATGCCGTTTTTTCCTTCTGTGTGCGACGCTGAGTGTGCGTGTGTGTGTGTGTGTGTGTGTGTGTGTGTGCTTGTTATGGTGCCGGCGCAGGCGCCGCACGAGCGATGTGGACGAGCGCGAGCAGGGGAACAAGGACGAGGACGAGGACGGGTACGACGACGAGCACATGCTTCATTCACTAAAAACAGCGCTCGGGTTGTTCGCCGTTCTCGGTCCGTTTGGCAGCTCGGGCTGCTCGCTGCTCGGCTTAAAGTTACGAGTTGCGAAAGACGAGCGTGTAGCGATTCCTTTGCTGCCATGCCATGCCATGCCATGCCAGCCATGCCATGCCATGCGATGCGATGCGATGTTGTGTTATGTTATAGGACTGGTATCGCACACTGCTGGCTCAATCGCGCCTCGCACGTTGGCCACGCAACACGTCGCGTTCAGTGGTGGTGTCCTGCTTGTCAGAGTCCCAGAGTCCTTTCATTCTGTCGCTTGCCGTCAACGCCGGCTTTGCTAAACGGCGTCACTTGCGATCCGCAATCGCCACCGTCGGCAGCCACAAGCCAGAGGCCAGAAGCCAAACTCAAAGACCAAGCTGTGTCCAAATAGCACAGACTAGATATATACGCGCTGAGCATATCGATATATATATAAATATATATATATATATATATGCATAGATTGAAAAACGTTTTCTTCTAATTCGTTGGCATTTGTTTTTCTTGTTTTTGTTTGCGTTGTGTGTTGTGGTCGAAGTTGCCGCCTGATGGCCGCTCGGGGAGTCCAAAGCCAAGTACAACATTAAGTGGTGTCTGTGTTTGTGTGTTTGTGTGTGTGTGTGTGTTCAGTGTGTGTGCGTGTGTGTGTGTGAGAGTGCGTGACGAACAACAAAAACAACAACAGTAAGAGGAACGGCAAGACAACAGTACATTCAAAGTCGGTTGCTGCCGCGTTATATCCGTTTCCGCTTGCCGCGCCGCGCCGCTCTTTGCGCATATCCTGCAATTACCAAAGAGACTCGAAAATCGGCTGGAGACGCCTTGAGGAGGCAGCGGTGGCAGTGGTTACACCATGCACGTACCAACAATGCCCAAAAGGCGAACGCTGCTGCCCCAACCCAGCCGGGTGACCACCCGTCCAACGCTGCTTCTCCTTTTTCTGCTTCTTCTACTGGCGGCATCTCAGCCAGCCAAGGCGGCCGGAAATGATGCAATATCCCCTGCCAGTGCTCGCCGCCATCGTCAGGCGGAGGCGCCGACGTCCGCTCGGTTAAAACGTGATGCCAGCACCGAGGACACTGATTCCAATGGGAGCCTACCAACAGCTTTAATGCAGCAGAATCAGCAGCAGGCTTTCAAGGATTTTGATGTATCCGCTTATGTGAACGGTAAGTGAACCAAGGCAACAACAACCATTGCACAACATTATCACTTAATCTACTCTTGCAAAATCAACAACTTAAACCCCCAATAAAAATACTCACGATTACTCTAATTACGGAGTCTTCAACCAATCCCTTAAGTGCACTTAGCAATAAATCATGCACTGAGTGAACGTATCACTTTCATTTAAGCTAAGGCTTACATCAAAAAAAAATGTACAAATGAAAACTTGAGAAAAATATATAAGATTGCCGTCAACTTGTTTATCATTGCTCCACACACCGATGAAAATTGACCAAGATTTGGAAAATCGAATTGAAATCCAGAAATGTTCTAAAAAAAAATGAATTTTTGATTGGTTGTGATTATGTATTTGTCTAAGTGGAAATATCTATCTAAAAGAAAATCCATTTCATAGTCCAAATACTCAACTTGACTTAACAGTTGATATATCTGCACAAATTTCTAATTTTGATTTGATCAACAACAAATTTCAAAGATATATATTACATTTTCAACAATTATAATAAATTAAATTGGCTGACATTAGAAAAATCTTGTATTTTGCATTTAAGTAATGCCAAAGTTCGAAGTCTCTTGCCATGTTATTTGAGGCACCATTTTGGTTAGCTTGTCCAAAGTTCGATGCACATCTATTTAAAACGCACTCAAATGCAATTGGGCACAGATTTTTGTTCAGTGCACATAATTGGCCATGGATTCCCATGAGCTGTCAGATGTTTACATTTTACATGCCGACCGATTGTATTTATGTCAAATTGCCATTTAAATACAGTTAACACTGTTTCTAATGTGCTTGTTTTAGGAATGTCATTGTGTGTGTGTGTTTGAATAAACTCACACAAGCAAACAAACACGTACACACACACACATACACACTGATGATGAATGTTATACGCATATGAATATGCTGGGACAGAACTATTTAGGCCAGGCACAGTTGCATTAGAAGCATTCACACACCCGCAATTAAAATGTGAAATTTATTTACAACACTTGTAACTGCGTAATGCAATTTTGTCAGTATCATATATGTGTACACACTGACGCAAGGATAAGGTCACTGATAGTGCCGTCCAAACAGTTACTGGCAATTACATTGCGCATACGCTTCGTTGCCCACTCAACATCAAAAACCCCCTTTCCATATGTTGTTTATGTAAATATACATTTTGCAGACTATCAATATATTTAGTAGTTCATCACTTCCTTCTGCTGGCCCCTTTGCGAAAACAAAATAAACCCACCCAGCTTGTTCGAAAGCAATTAAAATGGAAAACAATTCAGAGACATATCTATATATATTATGTTGGGGTTAGAACGAGAGAGAGAGAGAGTTGAACATTTTCATGTTTTGCGCAATTGACAAAAAAATGCAATAATTGCACTTGCATCTGTCACTGCAACATTGTAGAGCTTGTCACTTGTGTCATGAGACAACAACAACAACAACAGCAACTACAAAAATAACATCAGCTACACTGTCAAAATCAAAATCATAAATATTTAAAAACAAAGAACCCAAACAAACAATATCTCATAATTTGAATTGTTTAGATTATGAATTTCAATTTTACACACACACATAGTTCACATCGATGTTTGTCCAAGTCTGTGTTGTTGTTTCTATTTGTTGACATATGAAAAGTGTGTAGAGAAAGACTTGACAAAATATATATGTATGATATAGCCAATAAAGATGCCAGCCCGATGGGCAAATATCAGCAATTCTATCCTGATGAACCTTGCAATTGGGCAACCATCTTCAGATCCATATTCATAAGCAATTGCTTGATATTTACATCAATATGCAGACATACATGTATATGCATGCATTTGTCTGTCTCAGATGAATATTCGATATTTTACGGTGATTTACTGAGACTGCATTAAGATTATTGAGCGCACTTTATTGCTCAGTGTATTCAATTCAGTGCATTGCAACTCTCGATATTTTGGTTTCAAGCTGCAATTTGATTTGTCTTCTCCAACAACTTGGAATATTATTATTGTTAACTTGTTGCAGTTGCCACTGCTGCTGTCATTGTTGTTGCTGTTGCTGTTACTGTTGCTATTGCTATTGTTGTGTGGCCTTCCGTTGTCACCTTTCGCTCATATCTGCATCCGTTTGCCATAAATTATGGGCGCACATTCCACAATCACAATTTGGTTATGGCCATGGTTATGGTTATGGATATGGGTATGGAATGTAGAATGTAGAATGGCCCATATGCGAGAGGCGAATGCGAATGCGAATGCGAACACGAATTGCATTGTTTGTTTTGTTTATGTTTACACTCAGGTGTGTTCTGTGTTCCATTCTGTTCAGCTGTGTGTGGCTGCTGCTGCTGCTGCTGCTGCTGCTGCTGCTGCTGCTGCTGCTGCTGCTGCTGCTGCTGCTGCTGCTGCTGCTGCTCTTGTCGCTGCTGTTGTTGTTGTTGTTTGTTTGCGTCTCGCCGCTTTGCTATTCATAAGCCGCGACAGGCCATGTTGACACTTTTACCCACCTACCTACACTTACCCACACACACTTATCAACACACACACACACACACGCACACACACACACACGCTGACACAGTCGCACCGCAATCCTGCGTTTACATTTGAACAGACCGCAGTTAGAGGAAAAAAAATCGCATTTGCGAGGTCCAACACAAAACTTATAGAAGTCAACTGATCATGATCGTGATCGGTATCGTTATCGGTATTGGTATTTGTTGGGTTTTTAAAGCGGCAAAAAGTGATGCACTAGGTTTGGCGGTTAGACTAAGAAGAATTTATTCAATGTATTCTTAAGTAAAGGTATCGAGCGCAGTATCGATATCTTCTGTTATTAACATTAGTAATCGGAATGTTGTATTGATCTTTTACATATTTTCAACAGTATTGAATTGTGTACATTTTTTTATAAAAGTTAGTTTGATTTCAACTCCAAGCAGCTTATTTAAATTGCCATAGTAAGTAAGGGTAGTCAAAAAATATGACATTTTTTATGTCTATATCTGCTTATATTTATTTATTGATCTGTATTGATCGATTGTTGTCACATCGACGTACAGGCAGACACTAAGGAATCCCTTAGCCATCCACAACCACAAATCAATAATGTGTTTTTTGTTTTTAGTGAGTTTGACAGCAAGTAAAAATGATCTAGTCGAGAGAGCTGGACTTGTAAGTAGCCTGAGCCTGGATATACAAACAAATGATCAATATTGTGTCAAGATATATATCTACTTACCTCTAAATTTTTAAGAGTGTGGCTTGTATATCCTGATCAATAATTCATATATAATACTTTATGGGATCGACGATGCTTCCTCCTGAAAGTCACTTTTAAGTGAATATTGTCGAACTGTGTGTGCAGCCTGCGCACAAATATTGGTGCACTATTTAAACCTGGCCATAAGCTCAGTGTTAGCCATATTATTGTTGTTGCCGATTCCGCAGCTTGTCCTTTTTTTATAGATATTTTTTCTTGCGCTTTATTTGTTTGTTATTTCTGCCGCCAACTCTGTCGACCTCACCTCCTCCCCAAGGATCACTTGTCAATGTCTTGTCACCAACTGTGTGTGTGTGTGTGCCTTACTTGGCTTAGTTCTCAACTGTGTTTTGTTTGCGCTGCTGCAACTGTTTTTGCTGTTTTGTTTTGTTTTGTTTTTTTGTTGTCATCTTAAAGTAGATAATCAAAAGTAAATAAAAACATTTCACATTGTCTGCGCTCGCAGAAATGTTTCAGCGATTAAATCACCGTCTACAGAGTAAATAGATTTTCTGTGCGTTTTTCTTGTATTGTTTTGTGTTGCGTTGCGTTGCGTTGCGTTGCGTTGCGTTGCACAACTGTCGCTTGTCTATTGTTAATGTGACAGCCGTCGAGCTTGAGTGGCATTAGCCACATTACCCACACCACCAACCAACCAACCACACAGCACACACCACACACCACAAACCACTCACCACTCACGTTATCAGTAGCAGCTGTAGTGGAACTGGTATTTGCATTAAAAATTTACCACTAAAACAAAATGCCTCTGCGGACATTTTATGTGAATTTTATTTGTAAGCCGAATTAGGAAGAACACGTTTAAGTACTTAGATAATCATTGGCTCAGAAACATCCTCATTATATATACACATATATATATATATAATAAAATATAAATGTATACATATATATATATATATATATATATATATACAATATTGACCGTCTGTCACTCAGTCAGTCAATCAGACAGTCAGTGCTATAATTATTTGCATGCTTATTACCCAGATTAGTTCACAGGTTGAAAGCAGAATCAGCATCTGAGCACTTAATTAACTTGGAAGACAATTTGATTGCACCAATTAGGCGCATAATGGTATTCAACATTAAGATAAGCATATAAATAGATAATCAGAGGCGCACACACACAAACTGACACACTCCGACAGATGGACAGACAGACAGGCAGACAGACAGACAGACAGATAATGGGAATGTCCTTAAAATCCCCTCAGCTTACGAAAACATGGCTCATCTTGAACACTTCTGACTGTTTGCTTTGTCTGTAATGTCCATTTGCATTGGCCATAATAATGACTTGCTGTTATTTCTTTTCTTTTTTTTACCAAACAGTTTATATTTTGGAATTTATTGACGCAATTAATCGAATCAATTTTCTTGGAACACGTACATTTCAAAGCCGTAAATAAAAACAAGTCAACACTTTGCCATCGGCTGTAACCGACAGAGAAATACTCCGATGCCAATATAGCCAGGTTATTTTGTTTAGAGCTAGAGTTCCAAGTTAGATAATCTAAGCTCTTAAGTTGTAGGACTTTTTGGTGACTGTAGCTTTCAAGTCTAGCCATCAAGTATGTCAACCTTTAAAGGGAATTAGTGGTAAGATACTTTTCAAATGTGGCGACAATTCTCCAAAACTGTAGCCGTTCAGATGTTTTTATCGATCTTAAGAGAAGATCACGAGCAATCTATGTTTCT